AAGCATTTTTACAAGATGTTTTTGTTGTTTTTAGCGACTATATTTACACAGATTAAATGCGTATTATAGATAGTAATTTGTACTATATTTTTTCTTTTCAGTACGAGTAATAGACAGGAGCTGAGTGATAAGACATGATGCACTTAAATGTGCGTTAAACATACTCAGCAGTCTACTTTTTTTTTTTTTTTGCCTCATTACAAATATATATGACAAATGTCACGGTGAACACGATAAGTTGACAAAAGATGCAATTAAACATTCCTTATAAATCTTCAGTGTGGCTCTGAATACATTTATAATCTGTATATCCTGCATTTTGATTCCTGACGCTTATGTGAATTGATGGCTGTTAGAGTCATTATTGTCTTTATAGGGCACCTTTTAAGTTTGTAAAACTTTAAATGCATGAATTTGGCATGTTGCTAATAAGAAACTACTTGGATGGAAGTACTTAGTTTATTTGCTTTTGAGAATTGCTCATTCACATCACCCCTTATGAATATTAACAAATGTTTGTATATTCAGATGGTAATAATCAGCATGGCAAAAATTCAGATTTTATTAAAGCCATGGTTTATTAATTTTATGGTGAAAGATGTATATATTTCATTTAGGGCTGAGCGATATTGCAAAAATGTAATCTCTATAGTTATTTTTCCATATTCAACTATAACGATATATATTTTGATAAAAGTTGTTAATGCTTCCAGATTTAAAAGAGTATCCCAACTAGGTATGGGACGATAACTGTTTCCAAGGTATACCATGGTTTGGAAAAGTCAGGGTTTTAAAACCGACAAAATTATCTGCTATACCGTTCCTAATGCCGAGTTCAGATTGCATGATTTTAGCCCTGATTTTGACTTGTTTTGAGAAATTACAGACAAATGCCTGAAATCACAGGCAAATCAGTGCTCGTTTGCGTGAGTGACAGTCACACAGTATGAACTATCAAACTATGATAGAATCGCAGATGAGTCGCTGATGCCCGAGAGATATTTGGCAGGCCTCGTTACGCGCTGAATTACATTTTTCTGTGTTTGCGGAAAAGCATGTGAGTCAGCTGGCCCAATATGAAAGGGGCAAAGCAGGATTCTCCCGATGACCACCGGCGCAATACTGTTCTTTATTATAACCCGCATCAGTTTAAACTCAGTAAAGGCTAAACCGGGTCAAAAAAGAAAAAAGTTTTCTAACGTTACCCCATAAAAGGTTTTTTTCCCTCATTATATAGTTAATAACACAATATATATTATGTGTTTTTGGTTGTGAGATGTAGTTTGGACAAAGTTGGCGGCGATTTTCCTTTTGTAAAATCATGCAATGTGAAACTCCCTGTCGCAGATCCATCTTGCAGTGTAAACAAAGCAGCAACGAAATGCTATTGCCCATATAGTCATGCAGTGTGAAAACATCTGTGACACGACTACTTTGAAAATCATGCAGTCTGAACTCGACATAAGGTATATGTAAGAATTTTTTATTTACATTTTTTTAGGTACCTTTAGTTTTCTAGGACAACAGTGTCTCCAGCAGAAAATATATCTAAAGATGTCGTTTTAAATTGTAATGAAATCTGTTTTTTTTTTTTTAAACAAATGAAGACAGCAGAAGTCAAAGATTCATTAGAATTATTCAGCCTGATATGTTTACTGCTTCAAATTAAAAAAGGTTTCCAAAAATAAAATATATTGTGTTCAGAGAGGAAAAAAGTTGTTGTTTAAAAAGAGCATATATTAGAGCAGTAATCACAATACCGTGAAACCGGGATATTTTATCAAAGGTTACCATACAGTCAGATTCTTATACCGGCCCATGCCTAATCCCAACAATGACTGACACCACAAAAATTAGAGGTTCCATTAAGTGGCACGACATTTTTGGCTCTTAGTTCAATATAGTCAGGGCTCGAAATTAACTTTCTTACTTGGTAGCACAGGTGCTCCCAACCTGAAATATTTAGGAGCACCAGAAAAAATTTAGGAGCATCAGAAAAAATTTAGGAGCACCCACCAAAAATGAAATGAATGATATATTTGACAAGTTGTATATTAAGGGATTTATTGTATTTGAAAACGGCATCAATTGGGACTAACAAAACCCAGAAACAACTATCCAACTAATGCTGTGATGACTTAATATTTGTGCAATAATTCCAAAATGAATGTGGAATAATTATAAAATATTAATGATGACGATGATGACAATAATACTAATAATGAATTATATTTCTCATCATCATGCTGCCTTGAATGTGCTTTAATGTAAGTTATCTGCTATATAAAGTCCTACTGTTACTTTGTAATAAATTGATGGTTTGCATCAAACACAAATGAAGCATTGCAGTAAGAAATATTTATTTTATACTATTGTTTTTATATGCATGTCAATTTAATAAATAATATTTCTGCTACAAAACAAACAGAATAATATAATAAATCATTCAATTCAATGATGAAAGCTGCAAAGCAGTCATCAGTAATTAAATAGAAAAATAATATACACCTCAAGAAAGAACAGACAAAAGAAAAGAAGAAAAGTCTCACTTTTAAAAGTTTTGGTTTTGGTTCGTGTTGTTTTAATGCTCAGCCTCGTTACGCGCTGAATAACATTTTTCTGTGTTTGCGGAAAAGCATGCGAGTCAGCCGGCCCAATATGAGGGGGCAGAGCAGGATTCTCCCGATGACCATCGGTTGCAATACTGTGCTTTGTTATAACCCGCATCAGTTTAAACTCAGTAAAGGCAAGCTCGCTTCTTTAGTGATGGTGTTTTAGCGGACATTTGCGCTGTTGCAGTCTGACCTCACGAGGAAACGTATGAAAAAGTTACGAATTGCCGTGAGGTTGTGTTGGCTGAACACCCAGTGCATGCATCGCATCGAGATTCAGTTTGCTTTTCACTCTTCAGCCGTTTGCATTCCCCGCGGTCACAAAAGCTCCCTCCCTGTCATCTGACAGCGGAAAGTCTTGAGTGATTGACAGCTAACAGGAACCAATATAGCGGCAAGGAAGACCGATTTTACCTTGTTTTTAGAAAAAATAAAACAAAACAGGTCGCACTACAACCATTATATGTAGTCGCATGAATGCTCCCAATATATATTATGAGGTCGCATAGCTTAAATTTCGGGCGCATATGCGACCAAAATGGTCGCAATTTTGAGCCCCGAGTAAAAAAAGTCCAAAGCTTATTGTTATTTACATAAATTTTATCGCGATTCGATATAATAATGTTTATCGACCAGCCTTAATTTCATCTGTTTGACGTCTAAAGTGGAAAAAGTCAACTTGAAAGCAACAGACCTCTCTCTGTTGACCTTTTGAGGATTTACCTAATTATTTAGTTTCGTTTTAAACAACACACAGACAGTCATTCTGAACAAAATAATTTGTATACATTTTGGTAGGTTAATTTTTACATGCATTACTAAAATCCTGCCCTGCATTTTCATTTTTTATAATTTGCTGCACTTGGATAGTTCACTCAAAAATGAAAGATTACTCCTTGCTTACCCACCCAAATATGATTCCAAACCTTTATGAAATTCTTTATTCTGTTTAACACAAATGGAGAGATATTTTGACTAATCTTGGAAACCTGCATGCATCGAATAGTAAGACAAATAATATCTTTTTAAAAAGTAATACATCTGAAAAATACAGAAAATATCTTTTAAGTTCAACAGAAGAAAGAAACTTTTGGAACAAGTAAAGGATGAGTAAATTGTGGCATAATTTTTTTTCTTTTTAAAAATTATTTTTTAGGGATTTTTTACCTTTATTGGTGTAAAACAGTCGAGATTTTATAGAAAGGAAAGTGTGAGGAGCAGAGATAGGGGAAGGATTGGCACAGGACTTTGAGCTGGGAAACGAACTCGATTTGCTGAGAGCACCTCTGTGCTATGAGTCGATGCACTAACCTCTTGGCTATTAGCACGGACAAAATATTCCTTTAAATGCAAGTCATAACATTGAGAAAAATTCTGTTGTGTCATATTTTTTTAGCTTTAGGTTGTAACCTAATGTTATTAAGATTTCTACAACAAGGAACTTAAAGTAATGTTAAAACTAAAATTATCAGTACATATGAAATCAGAAAAGTAGCCCTGCCCCCAAACTAACAGCATTGGTTGAGCTTGTGTTGGACTGGTCAAGATGCTCAAACAAACAGAGCAATGTTTTGAAAGCACCATAGTGTTTACACTTTATGGGAATAAGCATGCAAAGGGCTTGCTTATAGTTGAATGCACATTTTCATGAGAACACATTTCAAGCTAAAGAAATTTATACACTTGATCTTTAATTAGCAACATCGTCCTTAAATGAACCATGCCATGTATCCAGAGGGTATTTTCTGTATGCCGTTCCTTTAGTCCTTCACGCTTCATGCTTAAATAGAACATATTGTTTAGAGATCACTGTCTGTCACCAGACTCATGGGAATTAGTCAAGGCATTTCAGCCAAAGAAATAAAAATAAATAAATGACAGAGAAAATTTAGTGCATAAGCTTTGTCATCATTTTCATGCTTAGCAAGCATTTACAAAAGTACCAATTTCTTAATTCTTAAGTGTCCAATGCATAGATAAAACTCCTACCTTGGTAGACTGAGGCAGAAGACATGCACAGAATCATACTGAACTGAATCCAGTCCTCTGCTGTTTAAAAGATCCAAACAGTTTGTCATAATCCTGATCCTATAGATATTTGACTTTGCATTGCTTGTTAAACATTTACAACATCACACAAAAGCATCAATATATTCCTATTATAGCTACAAAAAAGTGCATTGTAGTAAAAAAGTCTAGTTTAAAGGTTTGGGGTTTGATCACTGCCTAGATACATTTTCTAATATTAGAACGTTTGCTTGATTTGCCCCAGCTTCTCTGGTGATTCTTGAGCACATGGCCATATGCTGCCCAATAGGAAGCCAGGATTACCTTTTCCCTTCTGTAGCAACAGTGAGTTTCCTGCCTCGATTCATTAATTATTTTGTGCTCTGCCTTGGTCACAGTGTTTTGCAAACTGCTCTGCTCTGCTCAGACTGAATAAAGGGGAGGAAAGGATGCATGCAAATCTTGTCAGCCGTCTTCCAGCAGTTCAAGCCGTATGATTGCCTGTAAAGATGAAGATATCTCTCCGCAGAACTTTCAGACTCAGAATGGACCTTTTCTTTTTTCCTAAATGAGTTGACTGAACTACTGTAGCAATAGCATTGCACAAAGTACTTTAGTTATAATGATGAAAAGGCGGAAAGGGGGATGACGTATTTCGGAGGGGGTGTTTCGGTGGTGTGAGGACTGCGGGCTGTGGTTGGGTATGTCAGTGCCACGTGTCTGCGCTTGCACCTCTCTTTTCCACACAGAGGATGTCGGACTGAGACCTTAGTGCGCTTGGTCAAAGTGGGGTGAGTTTTGCCCTGTGTTGCTTATAAACACTTTGCCGTTGTTTATTCGATTGCAGTGCTTCCACAGCATCTGTAAAGCTTTAATGTGCCACTTTCGTGTTATTTGACCATAAGCCCCTAGTTCGAAGGTGCGCATGCGCATGGAAAAAAAAAGGTTGTATTTTTTTTCCTTTATAGGTTCAACATACAAGTGATGCTTTAACAACATCAATTTTGATGCTTAGACAAGTATGGACTTCATATTGAGTGAATCTGAAACTTGAGTAATCCACCAACATCAGTCTTCAGCTGTGACAAATTTTGAACTGTTACCTTTTTTGAGAATTTGCTGAAATTGAAATATTTGGTTGTTACTGTAAGATTACGGGTGCTGTTATTTCTAGCTCTTCTTTTTTTCGAGGTAAGTACGGTAGCTTGTTTCTCGGTTGAGATTTGTACCTGGTCTTACAGAATGACTTCATGTTTTCATGGCATGACGCATTTATTAGGTGCATCACGCACTTTAAAAGTTGATTTCAGTCTGATTATTTGAATCGTTTGTAAATAGTCAAAATGAAATTGAATCTGTTTTTTTTTTTTTAAGTCAGATTATCTGATAATGCCTTTGGAGCTCGTCCAGCATGTGCAATCGAGCTACAATTGGTTTCGGCGATGTGCACTTTCTCTAAAACACTGAGGTGACGCACAACCTGTATTAAAGCTTTCAAATGTATTAAACGCATTCTGTCATATATACTTGGACTGAGATAAAGGCTGTAACTGGAGTACGCAATCTGTTGCTCGATTATAACTGCTCATGTAATCGTACAGAATAAATTGTAATTGTATGTTTAGATTATGAGTATTTTGCTCTAAACACACTCCTGTCTTTTATTCTCCATACAGTCATCACATTACACTGGGGGAGGATAACATCTTGAGAGGGAATGTTGAGCAACCTGCTATAAGACGACACCAGCTGATTTGGCAAAAGATTTCTGTGAAGGACTTCATTTTTATTCTTTTCTCTTCCGGTGCCTCAGTGAGCATGCTGCATTCCCTCTGTTCCATCATTTGGTTGAACCGCGGGTTCAAGTTGAGGAAAGTGGCCTGTACGGCCAACACCGGCCAGGTCTAAGCCATTCCTACCGCGCATGCCTGCCCATGAGCTCTGTTTAGTAGTGCTTAGCTATTATTGAAACGTCCCACGGTACGACATCAATTGCACCCTCAAAGTTTGTTCCTTACTTCGATGCTCTTCTGCCTGAGGTGATTGTCATTTCATACTCTGAAAATGGCTGCGGATGGCTTCCAGTACAGATCCATCTACTCCTACCGTAAGGACTGGGAGCATGACATTGACCTTGAGCCTGGTGATATCCTGACAGTGGACAAAGGGTCTCTGCTGTCATTGGGCATCAAAGAGGGCGACGAGCAGCACCCCGAATGCATCGGCTGGATCTTGGGCTTTAATGAGCGAACCAAACAGAGGGGAGACTTTCCAGGGACATATGTGCAGTATGTGGGACCTGTGAAATTGTCAGCGCCGTACTGCCAGCCTCGTTCTCAGAGACCACTTCCTGCTGTTCCCAGACCTGAGCCAACAGCCTCCTTGCAGGGTAAGACTGTCGGCTTTTAGTTCTCTGGCTTTGTTTTAACCCTGTTAACCAATGGCTGACTTAATATGTGCTAATAAGATGTCACAACCTGTTTTGGACTGACTGATATTCTTTTAAAATCAGACTCAGATCTTTTAGGCTGCATTTACACTGCACTGTTCAAGTGACTCAATTTAGATTTTTTTTCTCTTATGTGTGACAGATCAGATATGGCCCATGTACGTGTAAACAGGAAAAATACTGGATTCTGATTTACTCAAATCAGACTCCGGCCTTGTTATAATTTGGAAATTTATCCGATATGAATCGAATCTGTGCCCTCGTTTCTGCAGTTAAGCGTGTAGATTGAATTTTTACCTGTCAATGTGAGTCGCGCATCATTAAAAACCGTAGTGAATGATATATAGATATAACTCTGATGTCCCAAACATTAAATCTCATACACAAGGACAAAAAAAGCCTATTTAATTTATAAAAGTTGTATTGTCATTAGGGCTGGGTGATTTTTATTATTTTTTTTCGATTAATTCAAATTTACATTTTGACGACGATTTAATTTTATATCAAATCGAGAAATCGCAAATTCTTTTATTTTTTTTTAAATAAAATATTTGATACATTATAATGGCCTTAATGCGCTTTGGTTCACTCTCTGTATGTCGCACACCTGAAGTGCCGCTCTCGATGCGCCTCGCAGCACCATGCAGCGCCATGGATTTTAGAATTCGAATCATAGGTTTATACACACACTGGCGCTCCCCAGCCACGATTCAGGACGCAGTTCATATTTCAGCCGCGCCACAAAGCACAAACCATAAATCTGATTAATTTCATGTTAAATATCATGCGAATGTGCGCATCTGGTGTGTGATACTTTAAACTGTCATGTGCGCGCCGTGTCGCGGCGTTTCTAGTGTGCGACCTGCTTGACTGCCTGTCTGGGTTTCAATCATGGTAGTGACGGACTGAACACAGAGACTGGACAGCCTAATTTAACCCAATACATGAAGTTGTGGGCATGCATCGCAGAGCTAGTGCAAATAAAACAAATACAAGCATTTAAGTGTCTTAAGTTGTGTATTTTTCTTTTGTTAATACCTTTGCATCAAACGTGCTTTGGTCCACTCTCACGCTACTCCAGCACTGCGAGGGGATTTACATTAAGACTAATGCAACAAGTGAAATCCTACATGACTTCACGCTTTACTAAGTCATGTCTGTGTGGATTGTCAAGACATATTACCTCATCAAGTTCATAAACTCGATCTCAACATGTATGAAGGATGTAAAAACCTGCCATGTGAAAAACCCTGCCGATCTTAGTTTGAACCGCGCTGATCTTTTGATTTATACACCAGCAGAGGTGAGCAGCTGACAGCTGTAGCAGTGAAAAGTGAAAGTACCCGCCCCCATGATGTCATTTAGCGGACCTAGTTGAAAACCAGACAGATCAGGCAGCATAATACAGAGAGTGGTGCAAAGCGCATCAAATGATCAATATTTAAAAGGGGGAAAAAGAAAAATAGATTAAATATATAATTTTATATTAGACACACATCTCTGGTGCTTTTATTTGCTCCTGCTATACGTCCACAACTTCACACATTGGGTTAAATGAGGCTTTACAGTTTCCATGTTCAGTTCTTTACTTCCACTGTATCTTTTTAAGAAAAAGGCAGCATCATTACAACCTGTCATTCAATAAGAAGACAAAGTCAAAGCCGAGCTGACAGCCAATCTTTCCTAGGCTCAGCAAAATTTGCAAAAAATACCTCTTTATTCCTGCAGCTGCAATATTTACACAAATATTTTTTTAAATCTTCTGCAACGATATTTAACTCATAAATTTGTATTAAATTTATTTACACCTTGTTGACCAATTTATGTATGGCATGGCCATTAAAAATACAGTGTTCCTTAACCAGATGTTTTTTCAAGTTACTTATAAAGAGAATGTCAGTCTTGTTGTTGTAATGTTTTAAGGTGACTAGTTACACAATAAAAAAAATCGAAAACGTAAATCGGTCAAACTTTATAAAAAATCTAGATTTTTTTTTTTCCATATCGCCCAGCCCTAATTGTCATGTAGCACAAGTAAAAGCATGCTATCGAGAAGGCGCAACATCCACTACATAACTAATTTAAACTAATATAAAACTTTCGCTTGCATCACATCATACATCACACCATGGACATTACATTTAGATGCCTACTGGTTTAAAAAGGCCTAGATGGCCAAATGAGGACTTTTATGTCATAAACTATAGTAAAACAACTTGTCAAAAAAAAGGTAAACCCTGTGAACAGATTAAATACAGGAATGGAGAAAAGAGCGCTCCTTTATTATCAGCTATCAGTTAGCGCCCGCTTTTTTTTTTCTGGTCATAGCATCTTTGCCATTTACAGTGTGAATGCAGACTATCAGACATGAATTTTTGAAAACTTTTAAAAGTGACTCAAGTTTGGGGAACTGACCAATGCTCCACTTTGTATGAAAATAAATTTCGTATCGAGATATGAGTTTGCGCAGTTGTCACATGATTGTGCAGACTGAGATTTAATTAAGTATTCTCTACAAGCTTTGGAGTGATGTTCAGCATTTAAGGCTGACTTTTACTTTTGTGTCGAGTGATTGGCATGACCCATGGCGCCTGCCTTGCTGGTAGTCTTGCATTTATACTTGTGCGTTCTGTTTGTGTTGCTCTGCAATAACATTTCTGAAACGTTAGCTGGCAGTGAGGTTTTTATGTTCCTCTGTGTCGAGTTTCTTCACAGGTGTTTTTTTTATTTTGAACGTTACCTTAATATACAAGTAGCAAAAACTCACTCATTCAGAGGCAGGAACCGGCAGACGTGCAACAACATTAATCCTAAGGTAAACACAAAACAACAGTTTCCACCTAAAGCTACATCACGGGACTTGACACTTGTAAACACTCGCTTCAACGGGTTCATGCGGCTCTCAGTCTCACCCACATTGATTACAGCTACCAAGCCGACCAATCACAGAGCTTACGCTACGTGTCGATGTGACGCGTAGTTAAATTTTTTGAGAGGTGTGCATTAGTGTCATCCACGGCGAGGGCTATGCGACTGCGCGAAGGTTGTGCTGGAGCATTCGCTTGATGCAGAAGTATAAATCGGCCTTTACACAGCCGATACCATGAAGCTGTCAAAATAAAAGTTTAAGTCGGTGATTGAAATTTAAATTGAGAAATTAAATTGTAATTATTAATTCTAGAATTGTTTGGTAAAACAAAAGGAATTTTAGTACTAACCTTTTATATGGGAGGGTAATTTTTTTTAATTTTAACTAAAAAGAAAAATATTTTTTGAAACTCATTGAAATTCAGTGAGAACAGTGGACATGTTCTTAAACTCGATTAGATGGCACGTTTTGCATTAGGATTTACTTAAAGTTCACAAAAAATATCACAAAAATGGATCAGTTTGAAATATTTGACAATTTACTTATTGATTTTTTTTTTTTTATGCAACAAGATCAGCACACGCTATTTAAAATGATTTCCAAATATAGCTATTAAAATCATCTGGTGAAAATTCCTGTATTTTTCTTTATTTATATTGCAGGAAAACAGTATTTTTTTTCTTTCTGTGCAGCACTGCAGCCCTAATCTGACCTGCCAATTTGTATCAACAAAGTCACAATCATATGACCTTTTAGCTGATTTAAAAGAATGTTAACTTTAAATTTGCAGGATTTTTACATTTCGTTTAGCAAGGCTGTTTGGTCAAATGAAAATGCAAAAATTACATTAATTGTATTTCTGTTCACCCGTACGGAAGTGCAGTGAACTATGATGACGATTTATTTCGCTTAATTTTAATGTCATTCATTTATTTAGATGTTATTTTTTACATAGGAAAACTGGGATTTTATAGTTTTTTTTTTCTTTACCAACTTACAAATTTTATTAATTTTTTTTTCAATTTTTTCATTATTTAGCACCGCTTGACTTTGTAAATGCAGACGTTTACCATCTGAAATTATGTAGTGACTCCTTCCCCAAACTATCTTTGCTCCTGTATTGCTCTGGCCCTTTCCCCGAGCTCTCTCCTCCTCCCTTTATGCCCTCAGGAAGCAGTAAATCATAGTATGTTTAGAGGCCTGGCAGTTCACTAAGCCAATCTGGAGAGCTGTATGTATCAGGTAGAGCTTTTAGCTTCATTGGCACATTCTCACTCCATAAGGTGATTTTTATTTTATTTTTTACAATTATTTTTTTTTTTTGCTTCAATGTCTCCTTTGTAACTGTTTTTTGAGAAGTTTAATGTCTTCATCACTGCTCTGCACACATCATGTTCAGTGTGTGATGCTCACTGACTTACTGAATTTTTAAATCGGTTATGCTTTTTTTAAAAGACGGTTGCTATCAAGTTGCTAAATGGGACTACAGGCGGTGTCGGGGACATTATACGTCATCAAGCTGATCTGGTCTGGACTCTTGTGCTTGTGTTAGGCATTTGGATTTGTCTGTTGTTTAGGTATTTTCATGAATAGTATTTTATAGTTTGTAGTATTATTCTAATTGGGAATTCAGATTGTGTGTAGATAATGCCCTCACTTGTAAAGGCTGTCGAGACAGATTCATTTGTTGATCTTTTATTTTAATAAACGATTATATAAAGATACTGCTCACCAGTGCAGCCTGTCTTTTGCAAACGTGTGAAGAAATGTGTAAAAATACATTCATGTTAATTGTTGTTCAAGCGTGATCAAGTGATTATTCGTCATTTTTTTCTTCATCTGAACACGTTTAACTCTGTCATAACTGCAATATTTACACTCCTCCATAAGATGTATAGCAGATGTGACTGTATGGGCTGCTTTTCGCTGTACTTCGTGACAAAAAAGGAAAATTGAATGTTGCTCTGTGTCCATGATGATGATGGAACTTGCAGGCATTCGATAGACTTGTTCCTCCTCACGCCTAATTTTTTGTCGTCTGTTAAGGTAAGCAGGCTGTGTGCACGCGAGC